CCTTTCGGCCACGTCACGTCTCTCGTTTGGAGCTTAAATTTCAATTTCCATTGATTTTGAATGGTATCGTGGAGATTAAGAGCGTCATCACAGTGGTAATCAATTTTTTTATTTCTTTCTTTTGACCTCGAACTTCATTAGTTGATAGTTGCTACAAGTGCAAATGATTTGTTGCACTAATACAGAATGTAGAGATTCATAGCATATGGAATAAGATTGAGAAAATGGAATTTGAGAAGAAGAACTGCAAGGTTACTTGTCTTCTTTTCTACTTGGACCTCCGTCGACCGATTTTCTCGATGCAAGTGTGTATCTGTCAGTTGTTAAAGAATCATGGAATGCTTTACGTTCGCTGAAACTGATTTCTCTATGGGCGTTGTTGAGTTGAGGTAGTCTTAGTCTACTAAAATTCTTGATTTTCACAAGTTTAATTAAGGTATTGGATTCTGGTGTTTTGGGTTGCCAAAGTAACTCATTTTGCTGCTAAAGGAAGTTTTAGAGAGACTAGGGGTGGTGGTGTGATAAAGGTTATTTTAGGGATAATAGTGGGTGGGAAAATAGGATTTTTAATTTTTATTATGGGTGAGATTATAATGGGGTAGGAAAATAGGAAAATGGGGTGGGTCTAGTATCACTCTAGTTTTTAATTGTTGTAGTGCGGTTCGGCTTTGGTTCTGTTCTAGAAGGTCAAAATTGAAATCAAATCGTTTTTCTACAGCGGTTCAGTTCAAACTGAAACCGTTTCAAAACCATAAAACTGAACCATTTGGTGTAGTCCAGTTTGATTCGTGTTTCGGTTTCGATTCTTGGTTCCAAGAGCCCACACCTACAATACACGTTTTTATTTTCTTTTGTCTTCTTCTTTTTTTTTTTATTGCTTTTCTATCATCTGTTTTGTGACAAAAAAACCCTTTGAAATATTAATGATCAATTTCCGGCCAGTTGTAGATCTTTTATTTGAGGGCTTTTATGTCCAAATATTTTTAATGAAGCCTTGAGTCCAATGAATGTTAGAGATATAGTCTTGATTGTTTTTCGTACCAAATTATAAATAACTAAATACCTTGAAGGCAAACGACCAAATTCACGTGTTTGCCCAAAAAAAAAAAAAAAAAAAAAAAAAAACCAACGACCAAATTCACGTTATTATTACCAAATAATGGTGGATAATTAATGGGGATGTACAGAAGCCTTAGTTTGATAATCTATATACCGCCACACCAGCATCCATGTGTTGGAGAAATTTTTTAGTGTGCTAAGAACACAGTTCAATACACTAACTAACATAATACAAGTAGCTGATTTTTTTTTTTTTAAGTATTCAATTACTTGTATTATGACATTTGATATACCTGGCTTTATTTTTGCACACTAAAAACATATCTCCTTCTTGTGATTGGAGTTTCTTGTATAGCAGTGTTATGGTTTCATGACTACAAAACAAAGTTTTGTTGTTTTAATAGGCTACTTGTTATAATCAATAATAAAAAGAAAATCTGTTAAATGTTGAAAGAATCTAGTACCTAGTCTTATCTTTGTTTTAGGTTGCCGTCCAATAGATAGAGGTCGATGACATGGTTTCAGTTTGATCATATTTTTTTTTTAACAAACGATATTATCTACATTAAGATCATCTCTAACTTTTGTGTTAAAACCTAAAATTTGTAACTCAGAAAATGTAAGTTTTAACCGAAAAACAGTTTTTCTACTTCAACCCTATTGCTTTAAATTTTTAGCCCAATATTATTAAAGAATGAATTTAGAACAATTTTTTTTCTTAAAGTAACTTTTTTTAAAACAAAATTATGTAGACTAATCCTAATTTAATTTTAGGAACATTTTAATCTAAAAATATTTAAATTCCAATAAATATTGAAAAATCACTAAACCGATACCATGAAACACGTGGAACACTATGAAAGAATTTGAAACACATTAAAGACTTTTTTTTAATTATTTTAGCCGTTAGATTTAAATTTGGACCGTTAATTTTTTTTTTTTTTTTTTACCGTTGGATTCAATGAATTTATAAATATAAAACTAAAAACAAATATACATATATAATGTGCCAGCCCACTAACCTAGGGGAAATCCTGGCCTAAATTTGCCCCAGAAATAAGCTTGGGGTTAAAACTCATATTTGCTTGGAGTATGTGAGCTTAGCCTCACAATAGGCTAGCAATAATTTAGTTTAAATTCGCATTTGGCAAGAATCGAACTTAAGATCTCTCACTCACAAGTAAAAAGGAATACCACTAGACTCCAATACTACGTGGCAGTTTGGTCCCATGTTTTACTCCTAATAAACCTCTATTAAATCTTATTTGTCGTTTTTGTTTAGTTTATTTTATTTGCCGGGCTTAAATTAAAAAAAAAAAGTGTGAACAGTTACAATAAGTGTATAAAAGTCAGTTTTCCTGTGTATTTTCATGTTCTTCTTTGAATGTTAATGGAGCTTCATTATAAAATGACTGCATCTTAAGTTAATGAAACGTTTACTAATAACAAAATATGCCGCCGGCAGATAAAACACGTGCAATTCTATATTATATCTAGCTTTAGAAAGAAAAGAAAAAAAGAAACCTATAAAGAATTCGATGGATAATTAATTTGAATATAAAGGACGTTGGTAATTTTGGTTCGACGAAAGTTTTATATTTCATTATTTATTAACAAGGAAACAAGAGGAGAAAAGTAAAAGAATATAAACAAGCTGAAGGATTGGACCGAAAAAAATAAAATACTACAACATGAAATTATCTATGGTCTTCGCCCGCTTGTTTTCAAATTAATATCTAAATCTTGGTAGTTTTGGTTTTAGCATTGTCTTGTACCTATGAAGCAATTAGTCACCGTACGTACGCGGATAGCTAATCCCGTTTCTAGAACACGGCGAACATTTTGATGAACAATATGGGAAGTACTAGGGTGACATTGTTGCATTAAGTTTGTGCATTATTTGATGTGAAAATTGACGTGTACAAGTCACGTCAAATATTACTATAAATATAACTTTAACTCTTAAAACTTAATTTTCTTCATATAAAACTCGACTTAAGTTTTTTACTCAAATAAAACCAATTTATTAGATTCCACATCAACAAATTCATTAATTATGTTTGACTTAACACATTTAAATTTTTTTGGATGCCTAAAATACCCCTATTTGAATGTTTGAGGCACACAATTAATGTCATGCGAATTATAAGGGAGAATTAATGATTTTACTAAAAAACATTAATGTTATAAATTCATTGCCTAATATATAATAACAATATAGAAAATGTCTAATATATATACATGCTTCACTAAGTCACTAAAATTATATTTTTCATATTAATGTAGGTAAATTATTTCACACACATATATAAAAAAAATGCCTAATAAATGTAAAAATTCATACAAAATAATTTACCAAAAAAATAATAATGTTATTTGATTCAAATAGTGCAACTACTATTAAAAATTTAAAATGTTAGATTGCTCAAAATAATTTACCCTATCTATGTAAAATACATGAAAAATAATTTACCTACTTAATAAACAAGCCCAATATATGCAAAATACATGCAAAATAATATACCTACATAATAAAGCAATATTATTTTATTTAATACTAATTTACCTACAAAATATATTATTTGCTAATCATAAATTTACATATAGGTAAATTAATTACATATAATAATTTTTTAACATATATGTTAGTACTACGCATATATATATTTGAACGTATAGTAGTACCATATACATAAAGGTAAATTATAGACATATAGGAATCCTTTAACAAGAGGGATCCCCATTTTTCTAAAAAAATGGAGACACCCTTTTGACCGTTGGATTTGACTTTAATGAAATTGTGTGGTTGAGATTGTGTGGCCTATGATTTAATCTCAACCACACAATTTCATTAAAGTCAATTCAACGGTCAAGAGGGTGTCCCCATTTACAAAAAAAAAGGAATCCCTCTTGTTAAAGGGCCTATATATATAAAACTTTTAGTAGTACGATATACTACTTACGGAACGTATGTATATTTATAGTAGGACTGTATATGTTTGAATGTTATACTTTTGAACGTATGTATATTTAAAGTAGTACTGTATTCTTTATATATATATATGTATGTATATATATGTTAGGGGTAATAGTATGTGCAATAATTATTTGTTCATTATAATTAAAGTAAGTAATAATATTTATTGATTTGATTGTGGCACAAGTTGTAAATATTTTGTAATAATAGGTCAATTACTTTTCTATTTGGCAGTCTTTTTCAAATTTGGATTTTATTTGAATATTAGAATTAAGTGAATTTTTATCTAAGAAATAAGAGTTGCAAAAGTTTATATCTAAATGACCCTATTGTTCATTACACGAGAGAAACTCATCAGAGCACGACCTACTTAGCCCACAATAAAACAAAAGCGATTAGGTTTATTGTTCTCAAAGTCCGGTTTGACACCATTAATTAATTATATGCATGCCTAGTTAAAATCAAGGAAAATGGTAAATGCACATCCTTTTTTAGCTCTCACCCACACATGTTTAATCATGTTCATTGTTTTTATTTAATTTATTCAATCTAATAGCCGAAAATGGAGAAAATCAAGAAACTTAAAAGAGTGTGAAATCACATTCCAAAATAAATTCAACTTTTTGTTCAATATTAATCTCAAATAATACGACATTAACATCATAACACAGACTCGATTACTGCCTCTAATCGTAATTTAAAAACTAAGGTGACGGTCCATGAATTGAATTTGTTAGGAAAGACAAATTTATTATTATAAGCATTATCGTTAGGATATGGTCAATCAATACAGCTAGCTACAATTGGGAGGAAACACCACACTCAAAGACAAGACATATAGTGACAAATCTCTCGTTCAACGGTCTTAATTAAGAAATAATATAACTCCATTTCGTGTCTACACTTGGAATTAAAAGGAGGCAACCTAGCTACTGCCTGAGCTGTCAACTCTTCATACACTCTTTCTATCTCTCTCTCTCTCTCACTCTCTCGCTCTCTCTCAAACACAAGCATGGAAATCTCCTTCCAATTGCAAAGCAACAATCCAATGCTGCAAAAGGCAACGCCGAAGAAAAATTCTCATAGTAGTTATATGATTCAAACTATTTCATGCAGAGGTGATGGGTTAGAGATGCATGCAAAGAAGGCTAACTTTTATGAGGTACTTTCTCTTGGTTCTGAAAATAACATAGACTTGCATGACATAAAGAAAGCCTACAAAAGCATGGCTCGTCAATTTCATCCTGATGTTTGTGCTCCGTCGGCAAAAGAGGAGTCTACCAGAAAATTCATTGAGCTTCAAAAAGCATATGAAACACTTTCCGACCCGGTTTCGCGTCAAATGTATGATTATCAGTTGAGTTTGGCTGACTCTTCGTTAGGGTTAGGGGTGGAGGGGTTTTGTACGGAGGTTAAGAGATCCATATTTCAAAGGGAAGTGTGGGAAGAACAACTTCGTGGATTGCATAAAAGATCACAAACAAGAAGGGAAAGGCGGTCCATGCAGAATTAATATTTTATTATATTTGTACTGTAATGTTTTACTAATATTTTCGTAGTATCATTTGTAATTATTTGTGCAAACAGGAGCAGCAGAGCTTCCTCTTTGTTGATTTTTACTCGAAAAGGAGCTTCATCTTCATATCTAAATGATAACATAAGGAACAAAATGATCTCTTTTATTTTATTTTATGTATTACGTTCTGTAATTTACCGAACTCAAAATACAACTAAAAACAAACAACCGACAAACTGAAAACAAGATTTGAAAGTTGAATTGAAGAAAGCAATTGAAAATAATGAGCAAAGTAAAATCACAATGCGATGAGGGAAGAGTATGAGATTTATTATTATATTTTTTTGACCAAACAATATTATCTACACTGAGGGGTGGGGAGTGGGCTAAGTTCCACACTGGGTTAGCCATAATAATGCAGTTCAAATTCTCATTTTGCAAGAATCAAACATAAGACCTCTTACTTACAAGTAAAGATGACTACTAGACCGTACTACTAAGTTACAAGATTTTTGAAATTAGTTTTTTTGAGATTAGGGCAATGACTTCATCATAACTATCCAATTTCAAGCAATCAAACACAAGTTACAAAGTTCAGATTTAGCTTTAATGTCTGATTCTTTTATAGTCCTGAAAGTCCTAGGATGGGTTTAACCTGGAGAAGGGTGAATAGGTTCCAACTTAAAAATTTAATTCAAATTCAATGTTCAATTTAATTTTTATATCCACAACAAATATCAAATTATCCTACACATATGCAATTAAAAGGATAAATAAAATGTGCAAATAGGATGTAGTATTTAATGAGGTAAAACCGACCACTGGGAAAATCCTCTAGCTCCCAAGTCAGGACAAACACTAAGAGAAATGAATACAGAAAGAGATATAAAACTCATCAACTAGACACACAAACTAGTAGGTAGTTTTGTCTCCGCGCTTTGCTACTTGATCTCTCTTAATCTTTGAGTAGAAGTGGCATGACAAAAACGCGATCGTCAATCACCTTTTTCTCAAACTTTGCAGGATACTAACGCAATCATGCAAAATGTATGTATGATGAAATGATATTTGATTTTATGCTATTTGAAAATCAACCAATTACGAAAATTATGAAAATTTCAGTGAAAATAAATGTTCACCAATGCATTAAATTTTGGCATGCGAGGGCTTGCGTGACACGCAAGGTCTTACATGGCGCGTACCATGTGTCTCACAAATTGTACACATGGCATGTGATTCATCAAAAAATGGGATGAGTCATCAAAATGACATGTGTCAACATATGGCAAAAAGGGACTATTTGATTTTAATGTAAACAAATAAATCAATTTAAATGAATTGATTTATTTGTTTTATATTTATTTAAATCACATATTAATTGATGGAGTAAAGTCGCAAATCACAAACCGAGACACAAATCAAGTCCTGGTTCTTTCGTAGGCAAAGCTTGAAGAATCTATAAATAGGATGCTCCACGACAAAGAAAAGGGTTCAGGAATGAACTAGCAGAGCTAAGAAGGATGGTGATACAAAATGCTCAGCCTCAAGCCCGCCCGATGTTCATAATCACACACCAGAAGCCTTACCCAACATATGTTGATAAACATAATCCTTTCCCTCTTAATTTCAAGATGCTTTCCAACTTTTAGTAGGGAACATTGCAGTGTTTCCTCCAGAGATCACATTTTCAAATTTTCAAACTATTGTGTGGCTTTTGAAGAAACCCCAACTACAAGTTAAGGCTATTTGGAAACTCCCTGGTGGGGTTGGCTTCCCAATGTTAGTCTTTGTTGCCCCCTAATTCGATTGCTAATTTGGGGGTAGATGGAAATGGCTTTTCACAAACAGTTTTATAGAGTAGAGCCAGAGATGACCATCAATGACTTAGTAGAGGTAAAGCAGTATGAACATGAGTCTACATAGGACTTTATGATGAGATTCAGGAAGACTAGGATGAGGTGCTAGTTTCCTATCAATCATGCTCAACTTATAGCCATTGCACATAAGGCTTTAAGGTTGTCTCTGATAAAGAAGTTTTATGATGTACAATTTTATGAACTCCAAGAGTTGATGATTATGGGCATAGTAGTAGGAAAAACAGCTTGTGCAACGAGATTTTGCGTGACGAAACATATTTTGTTGCAAAAGAGGTACTTACGCGACAAAAAAACACTATAGTCACGCAAAAAAGGCAGGAAAGAAAAAAAAATTGTTCGACGAAGAAATTAGTCACACATGAATACTTCATGTGACAAAAAACTATTGTCGTCGCGCAAAGTCAATAAGAAAAATGCGGGATAATTTTTTTGGTGCGAAAAACATGAACGATGAAGCAGGGGACTTTTGCGCGACAAAGAATTCATTGCACAAGTTACTGTTAGTTTTCAGTCAAACCATTAAGTGCATGTGAATATGAGGAATCAATATTGTATTTATTGTAGATGTTTGCGCGACAAAGACCTTCATCATGCAAGGTTTACGCGACAAAGAATTCGTCGCGCAAATGCCCTATGCTTCCATAAATATGAGCTTCTACTCTCCTTATTCTTCACAATTCTTCTGCTTGTGTTGGGATGGAATAATTGTCTTACTGCAGAGTGGCGTTCTTGGAAATATGTGCTCGAGAATGTGAAGAAGGCAGTGATGGATGAATTATTAGTAAGTAATGTTGATGGATGCATAATTAATTTTGTGACATTTTTTTGTTATATGTTGGAATTAATTATTTGCATATATGACAGTGTAAGTATACTCTTGATGATGATACGAATGAAGAGTTGATGAAGTTGATGGAGGCAGCATTGAAGAGAGGTTACAAGTGATGGCATGAGGACGTGGAGCAAAATGGAGGACCATCGAAATAGTAGCTTTAAATTTATGTTATTGAGGACAATATTTAAATTTAAGATTTTGTGTAAGTTATGTATTTGGACTTAATTAGGCTTCAATTCCTATTTGGTTTTTAAAATAATTGAATGGATTAAGGTATTAATTATTTCTAGAATAAATATTTAACTGAATATTTGTTTGTAATTATAAAGTTTACGTAAACATAGATCTATGTTTACGTAAACTTTATAATTACAATCAATCATGTTCGTTGCTAAATGGATTACGCAACGATGACTACTTCGCACGACGAACGGAAACTATCGTCGCGCAAGAAAACGGTCAGATTGCATTCAAACTCTCCTATTTATTGCGCAGTTATGACGTGTTTGCGTGGTGAACATAGGCCTTTGCGCGATGAATTGGTTCATCGCGCAAAGGGTTCCTAGTGCTATATAAACACAGTTTCAGAACCCTAATTTTCAAAAATCTTTTGTTTCAAAAGCCATGGCCTATTATAGAGAATGTTCTTGCAAAAAGAAAGTTGTAATGCGATCAGAGAGGTATCGACGGAAGCAAGGACAAAAGTATGGCTGAGGCGTACGCCCAACTTATTTATGATATTGGCGGTTTGGTGTGGAGGGAATGTTTTGCCAGGTTTGAGTCTTGGAAAAAGGTGCCTGAGGAGTTGATGAAGTCCATGCTGGGGGAGTTATCAATAAGTTTATATTAAACAATGTATAATTATTTTTGTTAAAATGTAGTATTTTTTAAATTACTAATTTATTATTATTGGCATTAATGTAGGTTCATTGGGATGTTGACAAAACCAATGAGAAGCAACGAAAGTATCTGTATTAGCTTTTCAAGAAGCGTTTCCAGCAGTGGAAGCTTGATGTGATGCGGGATACAGAGCGAGGTGCTGTTGCCCCGGAGGAGGAGGATTGAAGTTGATTTTTGTATTTTTTTTATTTTTTATGAAATAATATTTTTAGGACTTTATATTTATTTTAAATAATAAAATTATGTTATGTGGATGAGTATTAATATTTACATTAATTATAACTTGTTTTTGGGATAATAAATTAGTTTGGTTAATTAATTTAATGTTTAATTAGGTTTGAGTTTTTTTATTTATATTAAAATAAAAATTTACATTACGTAAAAAGAAAACGGAAAAACATAAAAAAAATTAAAAAATATGCATTTTGCGAGAAGAAAAATGTTTTCATTGAGCAAATTGTTTAAATAATAAGTTATAAAGTAAAGGAAAAAAAATAAAAAAAGTTGTAAACTTGCGCGACGAAACCATTGTTAGTCGCGCAAAGGGTATTTGTGAGACTAAGACTGTGTTCGTCGCGCAAAATCATTCGTCCAAAAGTTAACTTTATAATATGGATTTAGCTGTGTAGAGGCAAACTACAGTAAAACTGCAGATTTAGCCTATGCATTCCTCCCCATCGTTTTTCTTCAATCTGGCATCTGTCATTTCCATTTTCTCTCAATTTCATCATCTAATACTCCCTCTATCTTCTTCTCTAGGTTGATTGAGCTATCTCGGTGTGCCTGGTAAGCGTTTTTTTTTGTTAGGGTAAAAGTATTAATGTAAATTCATACTAACGCCATGAATTTCATTGTTTATAGGGATATTGTGTGTGATTAGCGATTGGTGGAGAACAATAGAGAATGTATTTTCCTTGTTTTGTTTTTTAAAAAATATCAAATTAATTAAATTATGTTGAACTTATGTTCTTATGTTTATATTGTGTTGTGAAATTATGTTTATATTATGTTGTTAAATTTGTACGTGACGTACAAATATGTGTTGTGATGTACGGAGTTAATTGTAATTAACTTCATACTTGGTTTTATTTTTATTTTATTTTTTGTAAAACTTAGTTTCCCATTCGAGGATTAGTTGGATTTTATGCATGGATGCAAAAGCATGATTGCGGTCCAATTAATTCTTGAATTGTCCCATTATTTGGATAGTTTGGGAATGCACAGTTATGGCGCGTAGTTTATGGTTGAAGGATTAGGTTTCGGCCGTGGAGATTTCGGTGTCATCTCTGTACGTTCTTCAGGTGGCACATAGGTATTTCATATCTACGTCGTTCATTTGAAGAATTGTACCGAGATGTTGCCGAAATTCATCCATGTCGAAATCTAATCTGATGTAGTCATAAATTACGTGACATAACTATGCATTCTCGAATGGGATAGGGCCCTTACCGAAGGCAGAAGGTGACATTATCATTTGAATAAAGTTGTTGTGATTGTTGTACTGTTATTGTGGTTGTAGGAATTATGGACAGGACATGGATA